TTCTCAAGAGCCCTTTTATGATCACATTGACCTTTCTCAGCAAATACAATCTTAAGTCTCTATTTTTTTTTTAATTTTTATTTTATATTGGTTTGTTTACAAAGTTTGTATACATTGTTTTTCCCACTTTCTTCACCACCACCCTCCCTCTACTCATCAAATTGTGAGACCTTATGATTAATGCTCTCCATCCTCACCCATGTTCCCCCCACTTCAATTCTTATACTATTCTACAATAATGGTTTTATACAATATTTCTCCTTATGAGTCTGAGTTAGTTTACTTAGCAAAATACTCTCTAGTTCCTCCTAAGTTTGGTAGTGATTTGCAAAATCATTTCTCCTGCATGCTGTGTAGTATTCCATCGTCTGAATGTACCATAATTTTTCAATCCATTCCATTGCAATTGGACATTTGGGCTGTTTCCATAATTTTTTTTAAGCTGATGTTCATGAAAGTTTACAGAGACTTTGGATTTCTTTTAATTCACTGTTGCACTTTTCTCCCGGCCCACCCCTCCCCCAATTAGCTTTTCTTTTTGAAAAGTAAAAGAAAAAATTATTTTATTGTTATTCAATCCCTCCCCCCAGGTCCACTCCATTATGCTACCTTCGTTCTGGATTCCTGTCGTAACAATAATATCTAATCATGTCAGTTCTCTTTTATAACAGTGGCATTATGCCATATTTGTCTTTTTATGTTTTAAGGTCAGGTGACTAACAGTCTCCATCTACAAACTTAATTCCCCTTGGCCATGTACCATATTAACAGATTCTAAGGATCAGGATCTTGACATTTGTGGAGTCACCACTGTTAAGTACCATTAAGTCAGTTCCAATTACACCATGGCTGAAGCATTCTGGTACCCTCTCCAATTTCCCCCTTTGCTCATAGGATCAGCTCTCTTGGGCCCCACTGACATGAGCAGATGCTAAAGGACTGGCCTCCCTCCTGCACATTAAAGATTCAAAGAATAGCTGCAAATACTGACAGGAAATCCAATTCCTTCTCCTCTCACACTATGCATTGTTCAATGGCAGATACACCAATGGTAGGCCATTCTGGTTAAGATACAGTGTCCACTCTGGTGATCCTATCTGGAAAGTGAACCCTAGGGGGCAGGATGAGTTATGGTCTGAGCTACAACAGCCAAGCTAGCAACAGGCTACTTGGATTTTACTTGGCTCAAAGATTCTAAGCAGCAGCCCCTGTCCAGGGAGGAAGATGGTGTTTTACTGGCTGGTGTCCCTGTGCATTTATTATGCATTCTAAAGAATAAATGCTCCATAAACACAGTTATTATTGTCACTTCCCTTGCCATTTTCACACTGGCAATGTGAAGTGGGCCACTTCTAGATACTTTAACATCCATTTTTCTTTTAGCTGACACCAAGGCCTAAAGGGTTTACATAGACCCCTTGTAACCCCTAAAGGGTTACAAGAAGAAAAGTCATGGCAGTTTAACCAGAGAAGGGCTAGGTCATGGTGGCAGTACAGGACAGGCAGCCAGAGAGATCAAGTCTGACAGAAAGCCAGGGTGAGCTGTTCTCTCTCAGGAGACAGTGTGGGTTAGTGCTCCTCAAGATTTTACACGCACAAGAATCCCCTGTTAAACACAGATTCTGAATTCAGAAGGTCTGCAGTGATATTTCTAAGTCTCTATCCCCAACTCACTCCCAGATTGTACCAAGGATGGCAGTCCAAGGATCACATTTGCATAGTAAGGTTCTATAAACCAACTAAAGAGCCAGAGTGGCATAATGTGTTACATACTGGGCTGTTAACTGAAAGGTCAGTGGTTTGAATCTGTCAGCTGTTCCAAGGAAGAAAAATGGACAGATTCATTCTATAAAGATTTATAGCCTGGAAACCTGATAAGGGGTCATTATGGATCAGAAGCTTAAAGGAAACAAGAGGGTTTGGTTTGAATTTCTATATCAACTTAGAAGCCATTAGGTTGTGGAAAGAGTTGAATGTTTGACTACTAACTAAATGGTTGGAAGCTTGAATCCACTACAAAACACCTCCAATAGGCTTTGGATCTACTTCTGAAAGGTCAGAACATCAGACCCTCTATGGTACAGTTCTACCTGCACATATGGAATCTCCATGACTCACATACAATTAAATTAATATCGTCAACATTTTAACTGGAGTCATGGATGGTGGAAATGGTTGAGTGCTCAATTGCTAACCAAAAGCCTCTGTCCACCCAGAGCCACACTACAAGAAAGGTTTGGCAATAAACTTCCAAAAAATTAGCCCTTGAAAACCCTATGGATCACAGGTCTACTTCGGGCTGTCATGCTAGAAGTTGGAGAGCATCTGGTTTTTGACATTTCTACTCTTTCACCCTACTTTTCATTTGTGGGCATATTTGCACAAACAAGCTTTCCAGTCATCCATTAGAGAACTCAGTCCAATCTAGGTTTCTGAGTGTTTAGGCTACTGCAATAAAATCTTTTCCATTAAAAGTATAATAGTCAATAAATAATATAAATTGGTATAACCACTATGGAAGGCAGTTTGGTGCTTCCTTTGTTATGTTGGTAATAGAAACACCACTTAACCCATCATTCCCACTCACTCACTCATTGCCTTCAAGTTAGAACTTATTCATAGTGGACCCTCAAGGAGGCTTTCAGAGGCTGCAAATCTCATGGAAGATGGCCTATTTTTCTCCTGAATAACATCTGGTAGAGCTGAACTGAACTGTCTGGCTTTGTGTTGGCAGCACAACTCTTTACCCATTAGGCCATCAGAGCTCCCCAGCAAAATCAGTACTAGATATGCACCCCAAACTACCAAGGGCTGTGACACAAACTGACATGCACAAACCTAGTCTCACTGTGACATTATTTACAATGACAAAAAACCAGAAACAACCCAAGTGTCCATCAGTGGGCAAATGGCTAAAGAAACTATGATACCTTAAAACAATGGAGTACTATGCAGTCCTAAAAACTATCAAGAGTTCATGAAATATTGGACAACATTGATGAATCCAGAGAAAACTATTCTGAATTACTTAAGTCAGTCACAAGAGGACAATAATGGTCTAAGACTATTAATATAAAAAGCCGAGGAAAGTGTACATGTCGACAGAAACAATTTTAAGAGGGATAAGATGAATGGAAAGACAGGAAGGAGAAGTAAAAATCAGTGTTAAGTTGGGTGAAAGGAAGGTAATACACACTAAGAGATTGACTGAAAAAAAAAAGAAGGGGTTGACTAGACATTGTGATGAATTACATTAACTAACACAATTGTCATGAAACAAAAATATCTATGAATGTATATAAACTAATAAGATTTCTTAATTTCACTCAAAATAAAAAGTATTTCTGCATTTGTTGTCTACTACTATGTTATCACTTGGAAAGAGGGTGGGAATGTGCTATTATGAAATGTTAAAAACAGTATTTTCAGCCACTGACCGGATAACATACATCATTTGATCCATGAAGCTATAAATAATCCAAGAACAAGTTGTTTGGGGTGTTAAACGACACCTAACGAAGAATTTTCAGAATAGGAAGTTGCAAGTCAATAATTCATCTTGGTGTACAAGCCTCTGACTACAGTCCCTAGGGCTGATGGGATCATTGCCTTTGTGCATATGAGATGCAGAAAGACCTGCTCTGAGAAGACAGCATCTCAAAAACAATCACAAGGACAATATGTGGAGCTCCTTGTGAAGGAGAAAGTGGGTGCAGGAAGACTTGGAATAAAAGAATGAGGAATAAGAGAAGCAGAAAAAGAAAAATGGAAAGAAAAAAAATTGTGTTTAGGCTACTGCAATAAATAAAATCTTTTCAATTAAGAGTGTAATAGTCAATAAATAATAAACAGATTGCTGAATTACATTTAGTAAATGAAGTTTCTATAATCTTGGTTTAATCTCTAGAATTTTATTATAGATTTTATTCATGGATCCTCACTTGCAAATGCAGAGCCTACATCTCTACAGCCGAGATGCTTATGACCTTGGGAGACAAACAGTGGATCTTAGAAATTCATTTTACAGATGGACTCAGACAGGGGTGCGAGCGTGTCTTAGGTCACACAGAAGACCACGACATTTCTAAGTAAAGCTAACCAGCCTGCTCTCGCAGCCAGCAGGCTAGAGAGCTCCTGGGGAGGGCCGACTCATAAACCTTTGTGCATTCCATGTGGGTGAAAATAACGGTGGGTTGCCAGCCTAGTTTACATTCTGACAAACACTGAATAATCAAAAGATAAAGAGAAGAAAGAAAAGGGAGAAGCAGAAGAGAAATGGGAGGAATTAATGTGTTTCCCTGGCTTACAGAGGCTGTGGTATCATCTGTGACAATCAGTATCATGAGTAAACCCCCTCCCCAAACACCGAGGCCTAAAACCTATCAGACCTTTGAACTTGGTGGGAAATAAAGCAGGAGTAAGACTAGAACACCTCATTCTTTTTCTTCTCTGTCAGGTGAGCATTTTAAAAACATTTCTCTCAAGCTCTAGAAAGAGTATCAAATCTAAAAATTAAAAAATCACTTTAGAGGTTTAGAACAGATCATGTCATTAATACCAAAATGCACACACGTGCTCATTCTTTTATCAGTAGAAAAGAGGCAAGTGTGACTATGTCACATGTACTCTGGAGTGTTTAGATAAAGTATGGCAATGCATTACCAATTGCTGTTGTTACTTAGCACTTTGCCTTCTAGCTGAAACAGGCACTACCTTGATCATTCACCTGTTGTTGTTATGTGTCGTTGAGTCGGCTGAGATTCACCTAAGACATAAGAAAATGTAGTGACCAAGAGCCGCAGCTCAGACCAGCTGGTCTAGGTTCTGCTTACTGGCTGGGTAGCCTTGGAGTAGTTGTGAAAAATAATCCACTGGAAAGCTATGGAGTTCGTGGGGCCAGCAGGAGTGCGAAGGATGCAGGAACAATCTCACTGCAGAGAGAAACAGCATCTACTAATCACTCAATGGATGTTAGCTGATCATTCTCCCAGGCATCTTACCTTCTCTCTCTGAATTGCCTTCATTTTCTGGATTTCCGCTTCCTCAGCTTCCTTCCTGATTCTAACAGATTCTTCTCTCTTTAGCTAAATTGCATTGAGATTACAGAAGACAAAAAACAGTTACCATTTTTCAGTCTGAATCTCTGGAACACAAAATTATGATTAAAGGTAAATGACAGTATTATCTGTGCTCTACCTCACCATGATTACAGGTTGTTACATGATTATCAGCTCTTTATATCACAGAGGATGGTCAGGCTACATGCATCTCTTGCCCATGAAATTAGGAAATTTCTGTCTTTGCTTTTCCTCCTCCATTGAAATGTCTATCTATCTCTTCCTTTTTTTCTCTTTCTCCCTTTACCATTTTTCTCCCTGCCTTTCTTTCTTTCACAGCTGGGTGAAGGGTAGTTGCACCATTTGTCCTAATTATGGAGTTCACTGTTGTTGTTAGGTGCTGACAAGTTTAAGTACAATTCACAGCAACTGTGTACAACAGAGCTGAACCTTGCCCTATCCTGCACCATCTTCATGATCTCTGACATGCTCAAGTCCATTGTTGCAATCACT